TAGTCACCTTCAGGTAACAGATCAATATCCTATTTGTTTCATAAATTAAGACATATGATTTACTGTTGAACTAGTTTACTCAATCATACTTTTGTAAGAGCACAGGCTTCTATGACAGAATTGTATCTTTCCACATCGTATGGTAGACCGAATAATATGTTGTCTCTCACTGTAGCTGAGAATACCCATGCTTCTTGACTAGCATAACCTATAGAGCCATTGACTGCAACTGATCCTTGTAAAGCTGGTAATTCCTTCAAAAGACATTGAAGAAGAGTAGACTACAAAAATCAATCAACATAGCTATACTAACAATTGATCAAGCATACTAACCTTCCCACACCCCACACTACCTACTACAGCCAGCAATGGTTTCTCCTGTACAAATTAAATAATTGAATTATCAGTAATTCTCTTACTTCATTAACAGTGAATGATATATTTTGTAATGTTAACTTCTCATTGTCCATAGACCAAGAAGCACTGAGATCCTGTACAGTGACACTTTTGTGAATTTTCACTGATTGGCTTTCTTTACAAGAGTTTTTCAAACGAAAATTAGCATTTACCTCTTGTTCATTGAGTAGTAAGAATTTCTAGTTTAAACATAAAGCCATCCATTAATTTCTATACACAATGTTATCCTTACCCTTATTCTAATCCATGCTACTCTAGCATCAGCAATATTGTGAGTAGCCATTATAAAAAAACGAACTGAAGTAAAACGAACAAAAGTTATAAGGGAAAGAGTAACAAAAACCTTCCTAGGAACCAGCTCATTTCCAGTAGTATTAACATAGACAGCAAATGTCAGAAACATGATCATGGCATTCAATGCAGTTTTGTAGGTATGACTGACTGACAAACACAAATAATACTTCAAGACTATAAATAACTCAGTCCTGTCAAAGGAAATATGTATCATACAATCATTAACTTCTATTACAATAATAGTCATTACCTTCTTATAGTAGCTACTAGGTCTCTAAAAGCATATTCCCAGGCATACATTTTGATGACTCTTATTCCACTAATTACTTCATTCATAACTTTAACTCTTCTGTCAGTCATTTTAGCAGCTTTAAATCTATTGATAATTACTATTATAAATGATTGTAAAATGATACAAAAATTGAACCTGAGCTTGGAGAAAAATTTTAAAACTGTTAGATGTAGAGGAATTTGAAAAACAAGCAAGGCAGTAGCTACAAAGGCACTCCATTGCACTTCTATGTACAAGAGATAAGTTACAACCATAACATGTAGCGGACCAATCCATAAAAAATGATATCTAGCAAAGGCCTATGATACAAAAAATCAATAGGAAATAAATAGCACTGGTCATACTTCATCAAATTTATGTACATCATTGGAAGCAAGATTCACAATGTGGCCAACTGAAAGTTTTCCCACAGTAGCCTGACTAAGTTGCAGTGTCTATAAAATACATTTAATAACAAGTAGTGTACAAAACTGTAAGAGTTTATAGATTTATACATGCAGTTTAGGTTACACATATCACTAGTTTAAAGTAGCAAGCAAAATATAAAATTCAAGTGGCTTATCGATAATATCGAGTACCTTTTTATAAATCAATCCAGTAAACATTATTTTAGTATAAAAGCCAGTCAAAAAGCCCTGATGAAAGTGATGGGCATGAAAAAACATGATACCCAATGATGATAGAGTAATTCCCATTGCAAAAAGTAGAGCCATTTTTGTATCATCTGGTGTAGGTGATTCAATGACGAAGTAATCAACCAGTGATCCCAATAGCTCTGATAGAGTTATCATGCAGGCCACCTATATAATGGTCATATCAGAGCTTGAATTGGAAAATAATAATTAGTACATTAAATGAAATAAGTACTCCATGAAGTATTACTTTCCACCAGAAACACTTAAGCCATGCAATAAATAATCTTGGAGACTGTCCACGTTCTTTTCGCTGCAATTCCACAAACCAATATCTATAACAATGCAAAACAGTGTCACTATATGTAAGCATAAGAATGTAGTGCTTTACTTGTTGAATTTGTTCAAGAGGTAGTTGGAGTCTGCTTCTGATGGATGAGCATACAGGTCATTGAACTCAAGGCTACGTTTACTGCCCAGACAAAATAATGGGTCAACCCAACTATATAGCCAACATAAAATGAAAGCAATTAATGGAAAGACTCTTACCAAAAGAATAATCGAAAGAAGAGATTATATTTGAATTTAGTTCTGTAGTCCTTTGCTTGTTGAGTGGCAGATACCTGAGGAGTCCATTTTGCCTTGACTCTGTCTGTCATTTTTAGTTATATACTACAGATTGATTGAATAAACTATAAACTGACTCCGTTATTTATATACTCATTTAGGTATCTGACTTCATCAATTAATTAGAATTAGTAGACGCCTAGACAGAAAACTAACTTTGCTTCAATAGATGATTTCATGCTTACATATAAATAGATGATCTCAATGACTACAGACTGGTTCACAATGTACAGTTAAGGTAAGGCAATTAGATAAGGCATTACGTTAAGACAGGAAGTGCTATACAAATCAATGACCACTGTTGACATAACATAATAAAGGATTAGCCATAAGTTGTGAAAATATTCTGATTGAATTCAGATAGCTATTTAATTAATGATTTGACTAGTGAGTAATCACAGCTATGTCGAACAGAATGTTACCACTGATGACTGATGTGGAGGAAATAATTAGTAGTCAAAACCAAGAAGCCAATGAAATGAACACTTTTGCAGTTTATGGACTGTTTGCATTGTGAATTATTTGGGCCCCTAGAAAACTTGATAGGCTACTCTGATTTGATTTATAGTTTCTACTACACTGGGCATATCAGTTTTGCTTTGATTTTAAGGGAGCAGTGGTCTCCTTGAGGCAACAAAGATATGCAACAATGTTACCAGCATTTAGACCTATCAAGGCTATGCCTAATACCGTATAGCAGGTAAAATTGGAGGGGCTAAATTTTGGCAAATTGCTAAATTTTGGTGATTGGCGGTTTTTAATTTGGCAAATTTGTGGCCACGTGCCATTAAGCATGTGTATAATGGCTTAAAATGGCAGATTTTTATTTTGGCGAATGGCTATCAAAATGCCAAATTCGCCAAATCAAATCCCCTCCAAATTTACCTGCTGTACAGTAAACAATTAGTGATGGTCGAAGAATAATAATAATTGTTCCTTTTAAATTTATGCACATCATACTAGTCATGTTACATTATGATTATTGATGTTAATTGCATGGTTGGCCTAAGTGATAAACTAGCTGTTTATTTGTTAAGGTAAATGTCCCGACCACCCAGGCAGAACTATGTCTTATGTTTACAGCTCCATATAATTAAAATTGTGGTTTTCCATTAATTATGCTAGACTCATAGCAACTTGACAATCCACTGAGCTGCATGGGCCAAAATCTTGTGGGAAGCCTTGCGCAATAGTTTCATAAAATTGGCAGATCAAACTAAGCAATGTTCAGACACATTTTAATGAAACCATTGCACAAGGCTTCCCACAAGATTTTGGCATATATATCATGCAGCTTCTTGTCAGTGGATTGTCAAGTTGCTCAAATTCTGGGCCAAAGACTCTTATAGTATAACAAAAATTAGAATAAAAAAGGTATTTTGACAAAAATTAGAATAAAAAAATTCTCCAATTTTATAAATTTCTTGATACAATAAGTACCTGTATGTTGTGTATCAATTTTGAGCCGATTCAAATCAAGTTTAGATTTTTAATGAATTTTAAACTTGCTAAAAAATCAGGCCAACGATCAGAAGCTATAGCCTCTGGTTTCATCAAAAATGGCTATAGGAGAGTATTTTCCATTTTTATATTTTTTCTGATATGCATACATGTTTTAATGTTGTGTATTAATTTTGAGTTGGTTCAGATCAAGTTTGGATTTTTCAAAAGTTGCTCCAAAGGCAATGTACTGTATTGTAGTGCTTGTCAGCTCATAAAGCTCATGCTTTTTAGTTCATTTAACATGCTTTGTGGGACACATTTTTTAGATTTTTGGCATTTTCTTAAAATGGCCATAACCTGAAAAATTGAAGTCGGAATCAGCTCAAATTTTCTACAAAGCATAAGGACATCAATATGTATCAGAAAATGTAATAAAGATTTGGAGTGATTTTTTGGCCATTTTTTGGAAAAAACCATGGACTATAAACTATATCATATACCCACTATTATTATTATTATCATATTATTATTATTACTATTGTACTATGCGTTTAGTTCTTCTGTTATTTTATTATTAGGCTAATGTATTATTATTATGCTCCTTTGTGTAAATTACTGTATCTTTTTCAATGAGATTTGAGGGTGATGACCCGATTTAAATGGACTATATTATATATAGCCTTGGGTATTTTTCAGATTTTTGGCATTTTCTTAAAATGGCCATAACCTGAAAAATTGAAGTCAGAATCAGCTCAAACTTTCTACAAAGCATAAGGACATGACTATGTATCAGAAAATGTAATAAAAATTTGGAGTAATTTTTGGCCATTTTTTGGAAAAAACCATGGACTATAGCCTTGGGTATCTTTCAGATTTTTGGCATTTTCTTAAAACAGCCATAACCTGAAAAATTGAAGTTGGAATTAGCTCAAACATTCTACACACCATAAGGACATCAATATGTATCAGAAAATGTAATAAAAATTTGGAGTAATTTTTTGGCCATTTTTTTGGGAAAAACCATGGACTATAGCCTTGGGTATTTTTCAGATTTTTGGGATTTTCTTAAAACGACCATAACCTGAAAAATTGAAGTCGGAATCAGCTTAAACTCTCTACACAGCATAAAGACATCAATATGTATCAGAAAATGTAATAAAAATTTGGAGTGATTTTTTGGCCATTTTTTTGGAAAAAACCATGGACTATAGCCTTGAGTATTTTTCAGATTTTTGGCATTTTCTTAAAATGACCATAACCTGAAAATTGAAGTTGGAATCAGCTTAAACTCTCTACACAGCATAAGGACATCAATGTGTATCAGAAAATGTAATAAAAATTTGGGGCAATTTTGGAGCCATTTTTTTGAATTACATGTAAAGATGGTATGTTACTTACATTAAATGTATTTTTGACCTCGCCTACGCGAGGTATAGGTAGTTGTTGTGTCTGTCTGTCATTCATTCATTCATTCTGTATAATTGAAATTTGTCTTTAATAAACAATAACTTACCATATAGTGTAAAATTTTTGAGGGCAGTAAATTTCACGGATTTTGCAATTTAAAAAAAAATTATAAAAATACTTTCACAAAAATCAATTATTACAGTACAAAATGGCAGACGGCATAAAATTAAATCAGCAAAATAGATTTTTAGGCAAATTTGCAAAACTTACAGCCCTCAAAAATTTTGCATTATAAAGTATGTTAATTAGATTGCTTTTAATAACTAATTAATTTTTAAAATGCTATTCAGACAAAATGAAAATGGTTAAAAAAGTCCAGTGTTCGACTGTTATTTCAAACTCTGCATACAATTGCTCTGTTTAATTAACTTACCATCTCTTATCATAAAAACATTTTTTCTTTCTGTTTTAGTCTATGAAAATACAAAAACTCACAATAATTATGATTTTGTCATAAATAACAGCAAGTTCTATCTTGCCAATACAGCTGACATTCATTTATTTCTCACTTACAAGCTTATTTCTATATTCTAGAGTCTAGACTTCTTCTGGAGATAGAAGACCTGTCTCTTAGTGCCACCATTTTTAATCAGATGTACTGGTGATCCTGCGTGGGTAGCATAGTGTAGACAATGCTACTATTAAGGTGGGCATCCACTATGCTTGCAATTTGTGGTTAAACCTTTGATGTGGTTGGGGAACATGTGCATGAAGTAGAGAGACTCTCAACATGTTGCACAACCACATCAAAGGTACTGGCAACAAAGTTGCATAGTGGATGCCCACCTTTAGATCTACTTTGATCTTCAGGCAACACTAGTGCCTAGAATAGAAAGCTGTTCTATGCTAGGCAAAACATTGTATAGTGAATCTAACCACAGATTTCAAGGAATAGAATTACCTGGTGTATAGTGCACTGCCTTTAGACTGATGCTATTGGTTATAGATTCAACAATGAGACTTCTTGAGTGTAAACACGAGTCTCCTTATAGAAAACATTCAACCATTATAAATAACAGACTAGATCTACATCTAGATTTAGTAACTTACAGTCAAAAATGTATTGCATCATTCTTACCCTCTCACTCGTGTTTCTGTCAGCTTCCAGTGAGCAGATTAATGTAACTAATGAATATGATTTGGAGACTTTCTTGTGCAATGAGACTCATTCACTGGATGATGATATTCTACTGGTGTTATCTGATAACATCACTCACCTCATTAGTAACAATGTATCATTTTGTGTGATTAACGGTACTGACTCACTGACAATAGCCAGTGAATCCTCAAAGCAAGCTCTTATAAAGTGTAATGATTCCAGTACACTACCAAACAGTGGGTTTGCTTTCACTAATGTACACAACCTGACATTAACCAGGTTAGTATTCACAGGCTGTGGTGAACAATTGAAGAGACTAGCTGTAATGGAGTCAATCAATTCTAGTGTGTCTCCAATGCATTTCTCACAGTGTCATTCAGCTGTTTTGCTATTTCTTCACATCAATGCATTGCTCATTGATGAGGTTGATATTACTGAATATTATGGTTTTGCTATTCTTGCTATCAATCCTAGGAATGCTTTGATCAATAGCTCTAGCATCAC